TGCTGAACTGAGCTCTCAGTCAAATCTCTATGACCAAATCAACATAATTATAATGTACAGTAGTTAGTCCACTAGTCAGTTTCCCAAAGGAAAAATGGTTCAGTATACAACACCACAGTTCCAGTGAGAGTTGGAACCTAAACCTAACCCTTATTCTGACCCTCATTCTCAACTCAACAGGAATCCTTCTGAAGAAATGACACTTCCTGATTCAAATTATTATTATTTTGAATTTCAAAATAATAATTATCAGACTTTCTTTCAGTTACAATACATCCACAATGGCTGCACAGTGGTTTACATACAGTAGGTTGTGTTAAATTAAAAATGTTTAGATTGGTTTCATTAATGTTTTACAAAGCTTTTCATCCATCCATAATCTATACCGTTTATCCTAACAAGGGTAGAAGGTGGCTGGAGCCGATCCTAAGCGGGGTTCACCCTGGACAGGTCGCCGGTCTGTCACAGACAAAGCTTTTCAGTCAACTCCAGAACATATCAGATACTTATGGTATATAACAACAGTCTAGTTTAATGGACAGAGCCACAGTGCTGAGACAGTAGCACCACAGAAAAGTCATATTTTCTTCAAACTTGATTGGCACATCTATGCCACCCTGACTTCTTCTGTGGTCATATAGCAGCCATAATGGAGTTTCGCAAGATCAGAGGGTGGCAAACAGCTAGCTGTTTGCTTGACTGAGCATTAGGTTTGGATTAGACTTCTGCACCTGCAGTTCTGTACATGCCAGTGATGGATGGGGCTTTTACTTTCCATCATCATCATCGAAAGTGGGCATTAAACATAGCTGACCCTGAAGATGATCTGGAGTTTTCTTCAGAAATCCACACCTCAGCAACTCTTTTATTTACATGTTCAGGCCTCACTCTGATCCAGAGCAGCAAGCAACATTTATTTATATAGCACCTTTCTAAACAGAGCAGTGGAATACTTCTGTAAAACCCAGGCTGGTAGGTAGGTAGGACTTAGGATCAAGAACAAGAATGATCCTCCCATAATTAATCCCTGAGAACAAATCAAGATACCTAAGAACAATACAAAATATAGTATTCAAGAGATCAAGAAATCAAGAACAAGAATAATACTCCCATAATTAATCCCACAATGGGGGAAATACCTGTATTTCAGCCATGAGAAAAACTATTCAAAGATACCTCAAACAAGACAATATAAAGTATTTGAGAGAAATCAAGGGCAAGATTTTACACATGTGCATATTTACAATGCATTTTACCCCCAGGATTTGAGTATTGCACCTCAAGTGACTATTACATAGTCCCTCATAATTTCACCTAACTTATCCCTGCAGAGATGTATTGTACAGTCTGACAGCTGTGGGGAGGGGTTGGGGGCCACAACCATGGACCCAACATGAAATGCTGAGAAATGAGATGTTGTGAAATGTGTATTACTGGGTTAACGGGGGGCACCTTTCCATCCTGCCAGCTGTGAAGCATCTTCACTGACCTGAATTAGCATTTCAACATAACAGCACACAACAAGCTTTGAACTAGAGTGCTACTTCGTGATATGCCCCTATGGGTCGTATGAGAAGGAAAGGACAAATGACCATATGGGTCGTATAGGTTGGAGGACTTGTTGAAACCATCACAGCAGGAGAAGTGACTGGGTCTCCAATGGCCCAGGTGTCAGGATTTATTCTCCTCGCTGATACATGTGGGGCCATCAGTAAAAAAATACAAAATGAAGTGAGTGAAATTTGACCTCACTCAGGATCTTGAAAAGGAAGAATAGTAAATTGTATTTAAACATTGTATTTACTGGGGAAATACATACAAAAGCTCACTTCAACCATTGTATATATTACACAAAAGAGTGATAAGAATTGTGAATAAGATGGGATATAGGGATCACACCAATGGAGCTTTCATACAGTCTAAATTGTTAAAATGTTTTGATTTAGTGGGATATAAGACTGCTGTGTTTATGTATAAAGCCAGGAACAATTTATTACCTGGTGGAATTCAAAAACTATTTAATGAAAGGGAAGGGGGATACAATTTAAGGGGTCAGTTAAATTATAAAATTCATGCTATACGTACAACCAAAAAAAGATTCTGTATTTCCATAAGTGGGGTAAAACTATGGAATAATTTAAGTGTAGACATAAAAAATAGTAATAGAATTGACGAGTTTAAACATAAATATAAAGGTATGTGTCAATCAAGATATATGCAAGAACAGGCTTAATGATTAATTAGATGGAACATTGTGGGTGTGGTATATGAATGTTAATACTCTGTAATAATTCTACTTGTGTGATGTAGAAGATAATTATCAAAGTATGTCATTATGTAAGAATGTTAACACACATGTTTGAAAGAAAAAAATCAAATCTAATCAATTAATTAAATTGTTTAAATTAATCAATTTAAACAATTAATTAAATTGTTTAAATTGCTGCTGTATCTCATTTAGATACAGCAGCAACAAAAGGCATTTTTAAACATTTTGCTCATTACTAATGACAACTGGAATTTAGTTTTTCCAGAGAACATGTCTTGTCTTTACGTCAACTAGTGACATCATTTCTTCCTCCAAGGCATCTGTGACTTTGAAAAAAGGCAAGGAACACAAAACTGGGTGGGGTGCACCTCAGCCAGATCAGTCCAACACATTCACACTCCATTTACACCTGTGAGCACTGTGGGGTTTCCAGTCAACATGACTTTGGACTCTGGGAGGAAATCAGAGCAGACAAACAGCACACAAACTCTAGTTTTCATTCATATTGTGAAAAAAACAAGAAGTCTAGTCTGAGTTAATCACTGGACAACTATCAGATATGAGTATATTTTGAGAACAAACTAGTCTGAGATCAATTCGTCTGCCATTTATGGGGAGAAATATGTTTGGCTGATATTGGGTGTTGGTGCAGTAGTAGATATGTCATGGAATAAATTTTCCCATCAAGTAGATGAAATGTACTGCTATTAATAATATGACAGAACAGAATCTGAAAGCACCGAGATCTTTACTGCTTAATCCTTGATTGTGTGTGATATTTTTACTTGTCTTCTATATGTTTGTGCTGTGATTCACTGGTAACCAGTAACCAGGTCCTGATAAAGCCAAGAATCAACAAGTTAAAAGGATACTGGGACAGTATCCACGATGTATGATGTATGTGTTTACAACACATCCTGTCCAGAGCAAAAAAATCAGGTTGCAAAATTCTGCCATATGTGAATTTTGGGTTGGTCACATTCATTTGTGTTGAATGTAGAAATGTAATGTAGCTGAAAGCAATAGGAACAAATGTAATATAAAAGTTTAGAAAGCATTTTATATACTTCTTTATATACTTATATACTTTTTCAGTTTACATGTCAGATATTTTTAACCAACCTTGCTGCATTTTAACTGCACTAATGATAGTAAATAGTAGCTTTTGCACCACTGGTCATTATCTCCTCAGCTGTATTGATTCAAAACACACTGAGGGGATGGTAAAAAAAGAAGAATGCATCTTTAAGGATTTGGTAATGAATGGGTTGAAAAGTAGCTTCATTCGGCTCCCTTCTCCCCTTTCTGTACCCACCCTGCCCCCCAGCACACGTTACAATGCAGGGCCACCTCCCCCACCACCCCCTAACACACACACATATTAACACACACTCCCTGCCCTGCCCCCTGAAGAACACATGCAGGAGGTGGGGGAGCATGGGTGGGTTTCCCCAAGTATTTAAGCAGATTCCAGCAGATGGTCGAGGAACTTTCCTCCTAGAGTCACGTTGCTCTGTATCTCCTTCACAGCGGACCTAACTACTTCTCCATTTCTCTCCCTTTCCCTGCCAAAAAATTATCTTTCAACTCCTTGGGCAAGGAGTTTCTAACAATCAGAGGGCCAAAGTGAAGTCTGCGAGTTTTTTCCAGACCCTTAAACCCAGTCTCTGTTGTCGCAGTTCCCCAAAGACCAGACTTTGCCTCTCTTTTTTTGTCCTCCCCACCCTCCCTCTACCGTTGGATCAGACGTCCAGCTCCTTCACTCAGCGAGGACGGCGGAGCCAACCATGCCTTCAGATTTTCTAACGCCTTTCCTGGATCTGGATGAGTTCTGCAAGGTGAGAGCCACTAATGACCATTTCAAACTTTCATACTTATCCTGGTGATCAGTTAAAGCTGAGGATGAGTTCAAGAGTGTAGTATCAACAATATTTCTTGATGTGGGAAAAGATAAGGAAGTGATGAAAAGTTACTAAACTAAAGACTAATTTGCAGATAAAGTGTTTTTCATTGATACGTCTAAAATCTGTTTACAGAAATGGTATTATTAATGATGAACCAATCCATTTTACTGCAGTTTTTGGTTTGGAAGTCAAATGTTTGGTTCGCAACTTCTTTTGTAAACAATCATATAATTATTCGACACATCATCAGAAAAGTGAAAGTCTAGGGTTAAGGTGTTTTGGGTTTGAACGAGTATTTTTTAAATTTTGCTCTAATAATTTGTATGAAAAATTGTTATGTGCTTTGCCTGATTTTTCCATACACTGTTTAGTATTTTGTAGATAAAGTGTTACTGGCACAGAACATAGTACTTAGTGGAACTTGATTTTTAGTGTGTTTTCAGATTCAACACAACACATTCTATTTAAACTTTTAGTTTTATTTGTTTATACAAGATAAAACTGTTCATTGCTTTAGCTGCAGCTTTAAAATCTCTTCTCAGCTCGACCTGGCCCTGCCAGTCTCGCTCCAGCCCTCCAGGAATGCAAAAGGCTCACATTTATTCTTCTCTCTATTTGTGTGACAGAATTTCTGTGGCCTGGAGGCGACAGATGGCTCATTGATCAGCTCACAGCACCAGCTGCAGGAGCACAGTCAAAGAGTCCTGGGCTTCCAGCGTCGCCATTCTCTCTGCCCTGTGACCCTTCCCAACTCCAAGTTCAACAGCAGCAGCAGCAGCTGTGAGGTGACTGAGTCAACCTGCTGGGGGCTCAATATGGCCTCCAACCAGCAGTGGAGCAGGGAGGGTCAGCTTCCCCGCTCCTTGCTCAGCCACATCCCCTTCAGGGTCGACCGCTCAGTCAGCATGATTGAGGGCAATGTCTGCAGTTTGGGTTGCAGAGAGGACAGAATGGCTCATATGTCCCCACCAGTGCCACTTCCTCCACCAAGCCTGTGCATCAGTAACACCTCTCTGTCCTCCACTGCTTTCTCCTCTGCCTCCAGACCCCCGGCCCCCTCACCTCACATCTCCACCAGGTACAAGACCGAACTCTGCCGCACCTATGAGGAAAGTGGGGCATGCAAGTACGGCGCCAAGTGCCAGTTTGCCCATGGCTTAGACGAGCTGAGAGGCCTCAGTAGGCACCCCAAAAACAAGACGGAGCCTTGCCGCACGCTGATGAGATTCACGCTGGCAGTGCTTCTGTACCACCACAGAAACAAAAAGTGAGGCCTCCTCTGCTGCGTCACAGCCTGAGCTTTGCTGGCTTCTCCTCCTTGCCACAGACTTTTCAACCAGTTGAGCAGATACAGCCGTCCTCCCTCCTCTTCACCCGGGCCTCCTCTGTCTCCCCTCCTCCATCCTCTGCAGGGAGCCCAGAGCTCCTCTCTCCTCTCTTCCCTGAGCCGGGGGCACTGAAGCATTGCTCCTACCCCTTCTCTGGCATGACTGACCTGGCAGGCGGCAGCAGTGATTCAGCTCTTCGTTTCTATCCTGTGACCGATTCTGTCAGCGTCAAGTCTACCCCCTCCACCTTCATCTCCACAAACTCCAGCCTGCCTTACAACCTCCCCCAGAAGCTGCCGGTCTCCCTGAGCAGCCTCCCTGGCCTTCAGCGTTGTTCCTCAGCTGACTCCCTCTCTGAGGAAGGCTACACCTCCTCCTGCTCCCTCAGCTCTTCCTCCAGCGGCACAGAGTCTCCGAGCTTTGAGGGCAGACGCTTGCCCATCTTTAGCCGCCTGTCTGTTTCAGATGAGTAGGGAAGGGTTTTACTGAAGGGCTGAATTTAATCAGGGATAGATGGTCTAATTGTTTTAACTTTGTGTGACCAGGATCCGATGATGGTTTTTGCACACGGTCAAAAAACACAAGAGCAGCTTTGACGCATGTAGTCTGTCTGCATGATTTAGAGTCTAACAATAGCAGAAAATGATCAAAGCTGGTTAAAACACATGAAGTTCATATACAAGTCACAAAGGATTAAAACGTTAGGTTTTCAGTCCCTCCCTAAATGCAGCCAGGTAAACGTACCTAACTTTGTGCATATTGCATTTCTCATCCAAGCAGTTGTACCGCTGCTCAGTGTTCGTCCAGTTTTAGCTGACTTCTCTTTTTGTTTTTTGTTTCTTTTGGTAATTTTGTACGTTTTTTATGCCATTGTTACTGCTGTATACTGTTGTATACCCATTCTTAGAGAATCCTCAGAGGGTGCTTGTTTTTCCTGCGTAGTGGGAAGTTCTGTGTGAGAATTTCCTTTACCCCGACTGAAGAGAGATTTTGAGATGCTGTTTGCCCTATGTATGACCAGTGTGCTCATCCACTTTTCTAATACAGCAGTGATGTTTCTTACGGATCTTGTTATTCATACTAGTCATTACAAACCGTTTCAGTGATGGCAGCCTGCATCACTTCTCCAGTCATATTTCAAGCTCTCCAACTGTATGAAATGAACCTTTTGTCCCTGAGTAAGAGGGTTAAATAACTGTATGGTCACTGATTGATTGATTAAGTAACCGGTTGCATGGCTGTGGCCATGATTGATTGTATTTGTTCGCCATTTTAACTGCCTGGCAAGGATTCAGTTAAACCGCCTTAGCAAACCCATGGTCTAGTTACCAAAGTCAATGTTAGCATTACCCTGTTACTCCAGCCTTTAGCCATCACAGCTAACAGTGTTATGATTATTGATATTATAGCTTGAAACGTCTTAGACTTATTTATTGCTTTTTTGTTTGATTTGTTGTTTCTGTCAGTTTGCTTTGTAATTTATGCATTTTTATAATGCCAGAGAAATTATACTTTACGTATGCATTCATGTTGTCTGTCTGCCTGCTTTACACTATCCAGTAGCTTTAAGACGCCATGAGGAGATGAGAGGAAAGGTGGAAGCAAGACATTCTGGCATTCTATATGTATGTTGCCTTACTGGCTGATAGGCCTGGCAGAAATCAAAACACTGGGGTTTCACATCACAAGCAGCTCGATCAGTTAGTCAGCAGTTGCTCTTTTCACATGGAGACAACTGAGCTTTGGAGAAACATCTTCTTTCTGCTGTTTATGTGAGCACACAGTGAGTCTGCTCTCCTGTCCATTAAGTCTCATGCTTCTGACTGTAATAACCTTTTTCTAAGCATTAACTACTGTTCTCTACATACAAAGCAAAACTATGGTGAAAGAGGGGTTTGCCACTCATCCATGGCCTCAGTGTGAATCAGCAGTGGCAAATAAAAATGTGAGTACAATATGATCATCAGTTTGGAGCTACACAACCACCAAAAGAATGATGTTAGAAAACAGTGTTAGTTTTATTTCAGGACTGCTGTATTGCTGCACTGTGGTCTTTCTGTGTGGTTATTCCTACCAGTTTACAACTCCGGTGTGCTATCTTCTTCTCTTGTGTAAACACAGGTGAAAAGGTGACAGATGTTTGTAGTTGATTTTTATCTATCAGAGCTGCCTTGATGTTTGTGGGTTGACCTCTGTTGCACACTAGCTAGCTAGCTAACTCTGAGCAGCAGGTGAAATCAAGTGGGTTCAGGTGAAACCAGGCAAGATTTGTATTACTTGCTTTTGTCTTGAAATCAACTCAACCTGCCCTGACAAGTCCAGTGATGCTTCCTGTTGCTGTAGCCTATTGTTAGCTTGACTTGACAGCAAGCCGTTTTTGTATCTTTTAACTTAAAGTCTTATTTATTTTGTTTTTCAAAGCAAAACCTATATTGTGTTGTTTGGTTGTGTTCTTTGTTTTACATAAGTTAAGTGCATTTATTGTTTACATTCCGTGAGTTATGTTGATATCCTAGCTCCTTATCTTAATATATTTGTTCATCTTTATTTCAAAATAAAGGTCTTTGAAAAATATCAGCTGGGCTCACTTGAATCTCATTATACTGTTGTGTGATTGTGTTGTATTCTATAACACACTGGAAGTCTGAAGTGGTTCTATAAAATCAAGGATATTTAAGACATTTTCTGATGAATGATGCAACTTTTATTTTGAATAACTTATGATAAAAAGTCTGTAGGAAACTTAAGCACAGTAGTAAGCAACATATAAACACTTTGCTTTAAGGCTGAGCTTTGGCACCTTCTACCAAACAAACACCTAATTCTGACCCACATCATTCACTCATCTGTATCCTCCCAACCCCATGTCCATGCTACGCCTGCCTCACATTCTCCCCCTCTGCTCACTCTCATCTCTACAAAAACACTTCTTAGCTCTACATTTGATGTCTATTCTCTGCAAGGACTCGGAGGGACATGATCAGAACTCAGGCGTCTTCAGGGACAAAACGAAGTCAGAAGAATTTCCTGAATTTACATGAACATTAGAGGTGTAATGGTGAATTAAATTCTTTCAATAGAGTAAAGCTTTAATGTCACTAAATGAGCTATTTGATGAAGACAGCAATCAATAAAACAGAAAAGTACTAACACATCTCAGCAGAAAGTTTCTTAACTAAATTATAAGCAGAGCCTGCAATAAATGGCTTAGATCTACAGGGGCAGTAAGAGATGAGTCACCAAAGACAATGAGAATGTTGAGCAGGAAGCTTTAACATGGTGAAAGAACTCAAATGTGCATTTGTGATGAAGGTTCTCTCACAAGCATCACTTTAAAATGCTACTGCATCTAGGGCCTTTACGATCATCTGTGTCCCACTGACACACAAAGGGAACAAAGATTAACTCTTTCTCTTACTTGCATTTAGGGACTCTCCCAGCCCTCCCCTCTGTATGTGTGTTTATGTGTGGGAAGAGGAGTGGGTTTTGTTGCAACTCGTCTGAACAGACCAATTTAGAGTGAGTGACACTGAGGAGAATGTTTGGGCAACAGATGCTCGAACAAAGAGTCCCCAGCACACAATGGGACTCAGAGATACTTGTGACTGATTTCCATCTATTCACACAAAGTGGAGCAGAAGTTGAGGTCCTCCCCTGCCTCTGTGTGTGTGTGTGTGTGTGTGTGTGTGTGATGGTTGTATCAATTGTACCATATAAAATACTCCTTTACAAATATATGTCTTGCACTCAAAATATTTTTTAGAAAATGTTGAGATAGATACTGTAGATAAATGATGATGGTATGTTGTGAGGTAAAATCTTAATCTGCAAAGTAACTACAACTGTCTGATAAATATAATGGAGTAAAAAGTATTATATTTCCCTGTGAGATGTATCTTGATCAAATTAAATTTGGTTCCAAATTTTATGTGCATACACCATAACTCAAAACACGGAAGCGGCACCTGGTAGGACTTTAATACAAGGAGCAACAACTGAATCCAAGTTATTGTTTTATTGTGCTGTTAAAAGCTAGATTAGAGAAATAAGAATACAAGGTTTTATAATGATTCCAAATCTTTGATTATATATGTGAATTTACCAGTAAACACTTATATATTGTAACATTAATCACATACTGGAACTCCTAAACTTGTTTGTTTCCATTAAAATTTATCTGAAAATTAGAAAAAAAATACAGCCACCTATTATTTTACTGGGAAACTCTCAAATAGGTTCAAGTATACATGCACATTGTGTCTCAGTGCACACACAAAAGAGGCAGTTGAGGTCCTGTGTGAGTTCATGTGTGCATGTGATGGCATTCAGCTGGGGGCACCACATGAGGGTTTAACTCTGCTGAATGAATATCAGAGTGCAGCAGGAGCAGACTCCCACAGCCTCCTATGGCTACTTACCATTCAAAAGCAATGGTTGTGTGTGTGCAAGAATATGTGTGTCTGTAAGACCCTAAAAAGGCCAAGGGCCATCCCTGTGCTGCACCCCCCAGCCATGCAGGCTCTTTGTGTTTCCGTGCTTTCCCTTTTCAGTTTAACATCTGTATGCTAATGTATCTCAATGGGAAGGAACTGGAATAAGCCTGGGAGAGAGGGTGAGGGGCAGCTTCCCTCTCTGTGGATGGAAAGGGATGGGTGAATGAAGTGATCTGGGAGAATTTAGCAGCAGGAAAAAGTTAGTGCTGGGCTCAGAGACAGGAGAGAAAAAGAAGAATTACTGGTGAACTGGATGGGACTGGGTGAAGTTTGAATGGGCAGTCTGTATAAGTATAAGACAGCAGTAGAAACTGAAATCAACATGTTACACACTATGCAACATAGTACATTTAAGCATCCAGCTCAATTACAAGTGCCATTTTTACACTATAGTCATTCGGCTGCTGCATCCAGACAGGCACACAGTGAGTTTAGAGGATGCCAGTTTAAGTCAAGGTAATGCTGCTGTAATGGGCGCTGCTATGTGTGGCACCAAAAGTGACAGTTGAGGTACATTTACTCATGTTTTTCTACTGGAGCACTTAATACTTATACACAACTATATTGTGTAATATAAGAACGTGTTTCTTTAACACAGTTTATTAATTGAGACAGCCATTCTCTAAAAAAAAAACTAAATATGTCACATGTCTGTTTATTATAACCCATAGTTAGGATTTATTGTTAGGCGACCTCTAGTGGCCAGAGTAATGATAACAGGAGCAAAGGAAGAAATCAGGTGACTTATAAAGAGTGACAAAGTCTGCAAGAGGGAGCAGCAGAAAGGTACCTGGCTGCAAACAAGATGGTAGCCTGTGGCCAAGACTTGTGCGCTATAGGGGTGTGTATCTCTCTCTGATACTGGAGTTGCACAGTTGCATTTTGCAGGGTGACTTATTTTAATTTTGTGCAGATAAAGAAGTGCTGGCTGTATCTTCTGCTTTTAAGGTAAGGTAAGACTTTACTGATCCCACAATGGGGAAATTCCAGTGTTCCAGCAACAATAGAGAGCAAACAACAAAACACCACAAGAACAACAAACACCATAAGGACCTCCGAGAAGCAAATAAATGATTTTACCCTAAATCAAATCAAAT